AAAAGAAGTTATCACTTCAACTCTCAGCAATACCAAGAAGTATCAACACCAGAAAGCTGCCTTTTTCGCCGAGCTGGAGACATAAACACATCATGAAACAATTCACGACACATCTCACGGTTATGAATTAGTCATCTCGATTCTCCTTCATATCCGAGATTCAATCTGTCTTTTAGACTCGAAATGATCTGTCTCAGGTTAACTTTGCTTCATATTTTTCTCTCATGTGAATGAATTCCTCTCGGAGAGCCTGAATCTTCCTCGGCTATTCAACGTCCTTGTCATTTTCGTTTCGCTCATTTTATTGACCATGTTTTTCATGTTCTTGACGTACCCATAGTCGAGTCCGTTTGTGTCACGGATCGGAGAGTTTATCTACTTCAGTGTTTGTGGGATCATATCTACGAAGGAAAAGTTGACATGGCACGCGCGTACGTATTCTTTTTTTCCGAACTCAGTAAAGAAATGTTTTCGTGTGACAATCTGCAGTATCTGCCATACACATGAAGATGAACAAAAAAAAATACCTGTATCAAAACTTCAGCAAGACAAACATTTGCACATCAGGAGGACTTACCTAGAAACAGTCGTGTATCGAGTCCTTTCTCAAACGTTTTGAATAACATTAAAAACCGAATTTTGATATTCAATCAGTTTTTGTTTTTGTTTGTTTGTTTTTTTTTTTTAGCAAATGCCTTGGGAGTAATTTAACTTATAAATGATTTATAAACCTTTGCCAAAAGAGCATAGAAAAATTGAAACACATTTATTATTAAGCGGCACCATAATGGATTTGCGCGTTTTATCATTCATACTCTTTATTATTTCATCTCAACTCTATCCGAAAAGCCTAAAGAATACCAAATGAAAAACATCAATGATCATTAGAAAAAACTTACTTAAAATAGATATTATGTATTTCTCGTGAATACATAAATAATAGTCTCTGTTTGGCGCGAAAATATGCACGGACATATGACCGTTGACATCGCCTGTCCTAAGATGCGAGCAGTTTCTCGAGAACGAAGCACAAAAGTTATCACTCATCAAATATTTTGCTCGCGCGCGATTGGTCAAAACGCATCACGTGACTGAATATTCTCCGGCTAAAACTGAGTAATAACCGGGGATATATCACCCAAGTAAAGATCTCCAATTTGCAAACCTCAAGTCCACTACGATAAGTCTTTGCTTAAAATTTAATTCAAGATGAAAGAGCGTTTTATGGTTGTTACTGAAAAAGGAAAATAGTTGTTTGTTCACTCGTGCCAGGGAACTCTCAAGAAACACCTCACGCAGCAAACAATAAGAAAGAAAAAAGAGAAGAAAAAGTTCTTTAACCGCAGTTCAAATGACTTTCATATATTCACAAACGGTGACTCATCATCAGTTGACTTATCAGCTCAGTTGGAAGAGCTCTGCACCGGTGTCGCAGAGGTCATGGGTTCAAATCCTCTATGGGCCTGAATTTTTTTCAGGCCTTAATTCCACTACTGCTTAAGTAGTATTTGTAGCTGCGAATATCGCTCTCATACTCGTTCTTTAACCGCAGTTCAAATATATAACTGTCCTATATTTACAAACGTTAAACGATAAGCGGTCCGTAAACATTTTCTCACGCGCGTTGCGAAATGTCTGAAGGATAATAAACACAAGAGCCTCTATTTTTCGCGAAAATATGCTCGTATATTTGTCCCTCGAAGCTTAAAGTTTTCCTCAAGCTTCTCCTTTGGAAAACTGTTCGCATCTTGGAATAGATAACGTCCACGGACAAATATCCGTACAGATTATCGCACCAAATAGAGGCTATTTTTATAGATATGAGAATCGAGCATAACTTCATATGTCTTTTTACAGATTCTATGTTTATCGAACCCCTGTCTGCGTAAAGGTAGCTGTCGAGCCTTGCATCAGAAAAATGATTTCAGATGCGAGTATATCTCAAATTACTCTGGAAGATATTGTGGTAAGTTTGATAAAACCCGTTGTATTCTGAAGTCCCGTAAATTTTTAGGCAATTAATAAGATGATTGACATGTCACTCCTTAAAGCGGAATAAGTACTCCTAAGGAGCGGAGTTTCAGTAGAAACAAACCTTGCTGTCAAAACTTTTACTTGTAGCTGCGCTGAGGCGACATGTTGAACCAAATGCGCTAGCAGTAATACTGGCTATCATGCACTGTTGAACTGTAGCACAGTACACAGTCCTTATCATCACAATTTTCCATTTTCTAGAAAAATGGCTGGTTGAAATACCGGGAAAAGTTTGCATGTAAGGAAATGGCGGTAGACCAGGAGTTTTCCTCATACCAATGGCCGGTAAAATCTGCTCTATCAAGTTGGTGCATTAA